ATTTATCATGTGATGTTCCAGGTGTCATCATGAGGGTGTTTGCAGTATTCCTTGGGCTGGCGGTCCTCTCAGGTGAGTTCAAATGTCTTTTTAGGCACACATAAAAACTACAAAAAGGAAGAAGACAATCAAATGAGTAAGGAGAGAAGATAAGAAGAAAGACAAATAAAGTAAAAACAGATTGAAATGTCTATCATTTAGATCCTGTTACACTTTTGGGCTTTCATTTTGAAATCACTGTCTACTATAGAGACCACAATAAGTCTGAGATAATAATGCAAATGAAGCCAAAAGGAGCTTTTATATTTAAAATAAGTTTCACATTCTCTTTTTACTTCTGTCTGTTCTTTAGTGGTTTCAAAAAAATCTGATCAAATACGAGTCCCAATATTTATTTAACAAAATGTGTCCTCACAGATTTGAAAATATAACCTGAAATCAAATGACTTGTACATTTTGCAATCATTGATTCAAAAAAGCTGATTTATCCGTAATCCAATGCCAAACATCTTCCATCATGTTTTGTTTCCCCTCTAAAATTGTAAGAAGTGAATATGTAATCTTCTTTGTCTCTGTGTTGTTGTATCATTTTATTTTTTGAACAGGCTGCTATGCCAGAAGTGTTCCTCAGGATGAGATGAAGAACTCCTGGGAAGTCACGGTCGAGAAGTTTAACGATTATTTCACCGACCTGAACTCAAAGGCCGACAGAATGGTGAAGGACATCAAGAGCTCCCAGATCAACCGGGAACTGGAGTGAGTCCTTTCACGTCACACTGATGAATTTAAGAAGAGTTATCAGAATAATAAATCTATTTATTTGCACCTTAGACCTGCCAGGGACATTTGGTTCCCTGATAAATACCTTATGTGCTATAAATGCTCATACCTGCTTTGACAGAATTGTCATTGAGTACAGATCATAGTTCACCATTCGTTCAAAGAAATGTTTTACATTTAGTCCAATAAAGTGAATTCTATTCACTCATCCTCGTCTACCTGGATAAATCTGCAACTACAAGCAAACTGGTTCACATTAAGAGAAACAATAGCAGTATCACTAATACTACTTAATAATATCCCAATGTTGAATTTATTATAATTATCGCTTAATACAAGTTTACACTAATGAATGGTTTAACGCTTTACCTGCCTATGAAACATTAAACTATGTGTAATGGTTAGGGTTTGAATTCAACTGAAATATACTTTTTTTTAAGTGTTTCTATTTCCTGCGTGTTACATTTTCTCACTCCACTACAGTATTTGTGTGACTGCTTTAGTCAGTTCTCAAATTAACATTTTCCATGTGAATTCTGTCATCACTTATCAAATATGATCCATTCCAACCCGTTAGTGAACAATGTAGGAGTTTAAATGACTGCTACAACATTTAAACGCTGCTTATACCATGCATCAGCAATAATACTCAATTTGTAAGTACTTTAAAATCTCAGTTGATTTTAATGTTGATACTTCTATTTGTTTGCATTCATTGGAATGCAGAATTTTAAGTTGGTGGTATTGCTACTTTTACTCAAGTAAATGATCTTAAATACTTGTGCTTGCTAACACTGAATAGAACAAACCCTGATGTTTTCTGGGTCTTTTGTTCTTGTCAGATTGATTGGAGTCTGACTGGCGATAGACTGGAGTGTGTGTGTGTGTGTGTGTGTGTGTGTGTGTGTGTGTGTGTGTGTGTGTGTGTGTGTGTGTGTGTGTGTGTGTGTGTGTGTGTGTGTGTGTGTGTGTGTGTGTGTGTGTGCGTGCGTGCGTGCGTGCGTGCGTGTGTGTGTGACATGTAAAGAGCTGCTAAGTCCTACACACTGCGGTCTCAGGTCCACTTTCCTGCTGGCTCAGTTGGACTTTCATTTGGTTGATTCCATAGACTGTATATATAAAGGTTGATTCCATAGACTGTATATATAAAGGTTGATTCCATAGACTGTATATATAAAGGTTGATTCCATAGACTGTATATATAAAGGTTGATTCCATAGACTGTATATATAAAGGTTGATTCCATAGACTGTATATATAAAGGTTGATTCACAGCTTTTATTGAATCTTTACTCAACTTTTCAGATCAAATCCTTTGATTTAACTTGATTTTATAAGTGAAGCTCCTGTAAATGATTTCCTTCACTGTTGACTCCTAGCAATGCAATATCTAAAATAAAATAAAATAAAACAAGTATTTATATAACATACATAAGAAGTTAAAGTCAAATGTCCAATAAAAGATAATAAAATATTCACACAAGCATTAGAAGAAAGCTGTTTACGTTATGTGTTCATCTTGAAGTAGGCCTTTAATTGCTCTCACCTCATTCTTGACCCCAACCCTAACCTCCTCTGTGTCCCCCCCCTCCACCCCTCAGCTCCTTGATCTACGACAGCATCTCAGAGCTGACCCAGTACAGAGAGGACCTGCAGAGCAAGCTGGGCCCCTACACCCAAGAGGCGGTGGGGACCCTGGGCACAGATCTGCAGAGGACCTTCGGCAAGCTGGACGGGCACCTGCTGGAGGCCCGGGAGCAGATGGAGAAGTACAGACTGGAGCTGACGACCATGATGGAGCAGAACGCCGACGACGTGAGGGTCCGGGTCTCCGCCTACAGCCGCAAGCTGAAGAAACGCCTCAACAAGGACACAGAGAGCATCAAGAGGTGAGGGAACCTGCAGGGGCTACTTGATATACTTGAACTCACTGTTTTACAACTGTTTATTACACCCCAACTAGAGTTATACGTACAATGCATTTACTACACATCTGTTTATTTCAGTTTGTTTATTTGCAAAATGTTTCCTTTTTATCTTATTTTACTTGAACTTATACAAATGTATTTAGCATTTTTGTTGGTAACCTGAGACTTCTTATTTGAATAGCCAATGACTGCTTTTGTAATTGATGTAAATATGATAACATAAACAACTTGAGCTAGCTTTTATCTAAAACTAAAAGAACGTGCTTTTTCAAACAAAACAATTATTGTATATTATATATTGATTTTATATATTTAATATATATTGTACATAGATAACTCGACAGAACATGATGTTTATATAAACATTTAAACCATTTTCTGTTTTATTTGTCTTAAAAGTGTACTGTTTTTAATTATACATTCATGCATAATTAGTGTATAATTATGCATTAGTGATAAACTAAATAAACTAAAGTATAGTTTATTTAGCATTAATTTAGATTATTCTGTGAAATTGAACATAAAGTGTACGTTAAAATATATATGTTATATGTTGCAGTTGAACTAAGGGACCTAATTACTGCATCAACCCTGCACTTTATTAAGATATAATAACATTTATTTTTACAACATGCTGTTTCAATGGGATTCAATCAATGAGATCAATCTGAACTTTTGAGTCTCGTGTTTAAAATAGTTTTGTCCTTTTTCTCAGAACTGTTGAAGAATTATTTGGGAATCTTCACTCCAGCACCTCCAACAACATGGAGGGCATGAAGGAGCATTTCGACCCTTTCTTCGCTCAGGTGCGGGACAACGCCCAGGCAAAGATCAGCACCCTGGGTGACCTGTTCCATGACACCACCGAGGACATGAAGGAACGCATCGAGACCACCGCTGAAGACCTGCGCTCCACGCTGCAGGACAAGTTTGAGAAGCTGAAGAACTGGTTCCAGACCTCCATATAAACCCTGTAACCAACAGAGAGGACCATCAGTCAAAACCACCTGCAAAAACCGTTTGAAGAGATTCATAACCAAAGATATTCAGCTGTTATATTACACACCACCTCCATGTCTGAATGTGTAGAGTCACTGATGCCTTTCAATAAAAAACATCTGCTCACATGTGTGTAATGTGTATAATAATTTACTATCCAGTCCGAAAGTTCTCTGGTCCAGATTTCCTCCTTTCTTTGCAATATAAATGACTTCAACAAATAAGTGAGCGATGGAAAAATGTCTTACTCTTGCGGATACATATTTGGAAAGTAAAACATACACTGCAGATTGAAACATCACTGGCATGTTTTTTGTGCGTGTACATTTACACCCCGGTTTAAAAGGTATAGTTCTCATTTCTTTCACTTTTTACATACAATAAGTCCACTTGTAGGGGTTTGGATTTTTTTTTTTCCTACAAAGCCAAAACGTAACAATAAGTTAAAAGATGCTTTAAAAAAATGATATAATATATATTTTTAAGTAAAGTAAATTCATAATTCGAATATTACAAATAATAATAATGATAATAATGATAATAATAAAAACAATAATAATAATAATAATAATAATAATAATAATAGCAATAATAATAATACCAAATTATAATATAATATAATGTGATTTAATATAATATTAAAGAATAATTACATGATTTATTATTAATTAATGCTCCTTTTTGCCTATTTTTGCCCACAGTCATTTATTTTAAGCCACTAAGTGAATGTCTTTATGATATGTCTATGCTAAGAGACGCATTTGTCACTAGTGTACTGTGAAAGATGCTGCTTCATTCTACAGCTGTTCATAGTGTATTGTGGTGTTTCTTTTATAAATGAAACTACTATAGTGATTTTATTGATCACTTGGCTGCACTTTCAGATAAGTACATGAACCCTTTTGAGAGGACTTACTGCTCACTGTTCATTTAGCTGCTGCTTACTATCAGCAAATGTTCTGTCTTGTATCTGACCCCAGGACAACAGTGTGTTCATTCTGAATCCATGGCACCACTGTTAAAACAAGTTAATTTTGTTGTATTGACTTTTGCACATCCTTCTTTGAGTTTAAAATGTTAAATAATGCTCAAATATCTAGAATAGACAATATATTAATTTAAAATGCGCATACAACTTTCTTTTTCTATTTCTTGTTAAGAGCACTAGCCTACGGTGAAACCAGCCTTCCACGTCTACGTCATTACTACATCCAATCACGTTTCTTGCAACTCTTCTCTGAGCCAATCACAGACGCTCTTTTTAGATCAGACACAGCATCGTGTTAGGCTGTCGCTGCTCAGTGTTGTCATTTCCAAACATGTCCATCACGTTCTAAGTAGAGGATTTTATATTTATCCTGAGAGTTTATTCTCTGTCACAATGAGTAACGTTTGCAGAGAAATCATCACTCTTCAGTTGGGACATTATTCAAACTTTGTCGGGACTCACTGGTGGAATTTACAGGTAAGCAGCTAGCGCTAAGGTAAAGTTAGCATGGCATGTGTTGACAAACTTGGAGAGATAGCTCATGTTAGCAGCAGCGTGAATGTGCAGTCTGTGTTCAATAAACACACCGAGGACATGCAGTGGAAACAACTAGCATATACACAGGCTACATGGTGCTAGAGTGTGAAGTCAGCAGTTTATTTCTGATCAGATAGTCATATTTTAGACGGAAATCGGGGACTCTATTGATATTCCTAAGTGAGATATGTATATTAATCACTTCAAATTAAAATTTAGATGGTTTTGCTACATCCTCAGTCATCTTTAAGGACCCTCCTGCATCCAGCTACAGATGATGTCCTGTATACATTACAACTATATATACATTCGAGATACTTGTATTGTTTGTGATAAGCTGAACTATTTTCCTTTATGGCCAAATGAAATGATCCTACTTTTTTAGTTGTATACAATCTTTAAAGAGTCTCTTGGATCAGCTGGAAAATGCATCGTCACAAAGCTGAAGACAGGGTTTGTTTTTTTGATGATACAATATTTTGGATAAAAACACCCAAAAGCATATACACAAGTTTTTAAATTAGCAAAACCTTAAATAATAACAACTACAGCAGCAAAAACCGTAATGCAGCATCAATATCAATCCAACATAATGTATAACAATAAAACCCTGAGAGAAAGCCCTTTTACTGCACATTGCATTTGTTTTACTTTTGCTAATGATACTCCATTAGTTTTCCTTCAGTTAGGTTTTTAGATGGATGACTTTAACCTAGCAGAACATTTTACACTGTGGTATTAGAACTTTTCATTTTTAAAGTTAAGGGTCTGAATGCTTTGCAAAAACCGAGTAAGTTCAAGCCCACATAAATATTTTACTCTAAATGACAATTGTAGTAGTAAAAAAAACATAAAGCATTACATTGCAAACATAGAACTATATATCTTCCGTCCAAAACTTGAGTAAAATCTGTTAAAATGGGGCTAATCCCCTTGTGTCTGTTTGCAGGATGCCTCTTTGTCCTACGATCCAGACACGTCCCTGGGTGAGATCCAGAGTGATGTCCTCTTTCGAGAGGGACAGACTCTGGGGGGACACGTCACACACACACCTCGCCTCATCGCCATGGATCTCAAAGGTAACTTCCTCTGATCCTGTTGTTTCATAATCAAACAAAATTAGAATTGCTTCACTAGTTTAACTATGGGTAAAACATTGATATGTCTTACATGGATACAGGTTCCTATAGTAACCTGGTTTTGTAACCTGGTTTTGTATGCTGCTGGCTAAGCTGATGTCACACATTTCTATAACAGGAAGTCTCCGGACTCTACGGCAGGAGGGAAGTCTGTATGACCCCAGCGAAGAGGCCTCCGCTGTCACATGGTAGATGAAAGTGTCTCTGTGTATGCATTACTTCCTGTGTGTTTACAGATTTTAAGGGCACAACAAACTGTGTTGTATTTATAGTAGGACTGAAACTAACACTTGTTTTCATTATCTGTAAATCTGCCAAGAAGTCTAGATTATTCAGATCATTGTTTGGTCTATAGAATGTTATAAACTAGTAAGATGTCCATCGGAGTATCTCACATCACAAGTCTCAGGACAGGTGATTTCTAGTCATGTCAGCAGCGCTAATTGAAAGGTACAGTGTATTCCTGGTGGATTTTGGCACCTTTAACTTAAGTTTTAATGTAATGAAATACTGTACAACAATCCTCAAAGTGCTCACTTACTGTTAAATATTTTAGTTAAAGGTCAAACCTCTATTGATGGATGTATCAGATCTGCCTACTTTCCCTTTCTTTTTATAACTGATATTGAAGCTAAATGTTAGACAGTTCTTGGTCTTTTTTATTTCAAACTGTGCTCCATCTGGCAGGGAGGGAAGCCTCATGATGCACGAAGAAACTCCAGCTGAGAAGAACCCTTTTCTAGAAGATCTGGACAGGCTGGATGTGAGTATTTGTGAAGAAAATCCAACTAACAAGCAGCTTAACGATGCAGAGTGTTTTCATTTCACTGTCATCTTGAGATAGTGATGCCAAGCAATTTGTAATAATGCGGTTTTATAGCAATCACAAAACAAACAGAAGATCAACACTACCACAACCTTTAGTGCCAACGTAGGTTTCCAAAAGGCCACATGATGTCATCATTATTATCATCAAAAGTTTCTTGTGTACAAGCGTGTCCATCTACCTTTTTGTCTTTAATCATTTTCCCTATTAAGACACAAAAATAAAGAGCAACAAAGAGTCGTACAACATAATACAACTTTAATTGAAGTGGATACAGTTAATACAAATACATGCTCAAAGTACCGATAATGAATAAAGGAAAAAAAGAATGATGGTATTTTTCCAGTACGGATAATTATGAAATTACTGTATGTATAGAAAAAAATACGACTTAACATATATAAATTAAGGAAACTAAATAAATAGAAAAAATAGTCTCTTAGGTGCATTCACACCAGCCTTTTAGGGTGCATTCACACCAGCCTTTTAGGGTGCATTCACACCAGCCTTTTAGGGTGCATTCACACCAGCCTCTTAGGGTGCATTCACACCAGCCTTTTAGGTCACATTCACACCAGCCTTTTAGGGTGCATTCACACCAGCCTCTTAGGGTGCATTCACACCAGCCTTTTAGGTCACATTCACACCAGTCTCTTAGGGTGCATTCACACCAGCCTTTTAGGTCGCATTCACACCAGCCTTTTATAGTCCGGTTGAATCGAACCCTGGTGCGTTTAGCCGCTTGGTGCGGTTCATTTGGGTCGGTGTGAACACAGTCCGAGACCTCTTAAGTGAACTAAACAACCGGACTCTGGTCCGCTAAAATAGGTGGTCTCGGACCGCTTGCTAGTGAACTCTGGAGCGGTTCATCGCTGGTGTGAACGCAGTCCGCACCAAAACATAGGAAGCGTAGTATTTACGAGTCACAAGAACGCGGGTGTCTTCATTTCTTTAGTGAAAGAGTGAAGCAGAACGAAGTGTTGAACAGTGTCGTGTAAAGTAAAAACTATACATAAAAGTCAGAGCCACCTGTCGTCGGTGAAACCCCCTCCTTACTGCAGAACGTCTCTCATTATATGTGTTATAATGTTTTGTATCGCACGTTGTCTGATTATATAATCATATGCGCCGTTGCTGTTGATCTGCTCTCCAGATTAACAACAGCATGAAAATAACCTACCGATGCTCCATGGCGGAGGCTCCGGTAGAAATTGCCGGGATTTGCGTTTTTACCCCCTTAATGTCTGACCAATTGTTGAACAGCATTTCCGAGCACATGACTTGCGTTTAAAGTTTATAGTCCGTTTTAATTTTGCCCGTGTGAACGCAAACCGAACCTTCTGAAAAATGAAACAATGTAACAAACTGTGGTCTGGTGCGCACCAGAGAAGTGGACTATTAGGTGTGAATGCACCCTTAATTAATGTTACTTCCCCGCTGTTACATTTTTCTTGCTTATTTTCCATTAAATGCATCAAAGGCTCCTATATGGAATTAAAGGCCTGCCTCCTTTTAAGACTGTATGTTATTTTCTTCTTCCTTCACTAGCCTAAGCTCGTCTCACTACATGTTTCCAAGATAAAACATTTAAACATGAGATGCCTATGGACACCAACGGCTTCTCCATGTCTTCCTACCTTTGCTATTTGAATAGCCAGGAAGATATTTAGCAGTAGATAGCACCTGATCATGGCAGGTTACTGGTACACATATCAACCACAGCCAGAATGTACTAGCCTGATGGAATCTGATATGCTTTTAGAAAATGCAGAGCATTCACACTGTTCGATTGTACTTTATGTAGTTATTTTGATTTAGATTGGTCTGGATTGAGTAATAGTGCTGCAGAAACATTAAGTGTTTTATCCTGACGGTTTGTTTTTCTCTCCAGAGAGGGCAGACCCTTGCTGAAGATGATCTTCACCCCCAACCTCGGCGCTCAGGTAAGACAATCTTAAAGGAACTTTAAAATTCAGCATGAAATAAGATTTTGCATGAAACTCAGCAGCGAGCCCTGTGAACCTCCCCCTCCCCCAGCTGCTGCAGTGAGCCTGGATGTGAACAGCCAGCTGGCACGGCTCCAGAAGGCCTACCGGCTGGAGGGCAGCGTGAGGGTGTGGTCCGACTTCCTGAGGTTGCACCTGCACCCCCGCAGCATCTCCGTTATCCACCAGTTCAACCACGACGGGTAGAGTACAACATCAGACTTAAAACAGGAAGGACAGCTTTGGGATTTAACTTCATGATCGTTTTCACAATACAGACTGATTCATTTGGAATTGTATACTGTTTTCGTCTATATAATATAATATAATCATATTTTCATATTCTACCAATTTAAGATGGCAATACTTGTTTAAAGTAATCCAAATCAATTTGATACCTGATATTATAAGCACTTTACCAGTTTACAGTGACACACAGAATATATAGACTATGCAAGGATTATGTACAGTATACTTATGATGACTGACAGTGGTGGCATTTACTCCAATACTGTACTCATTTCATCAAAATGACAAGAAGCACAGGCTCAAGGGAAGACAGAATTATGTAGGATATATTAAGGAGAACCTGTTGGCACATATTTAGAGTTAAGTATAGTGAATAAATAGTATATCACAGCACAAGGTGCTGGACATAAAAGGCAAATCAGTGAGCCCAGACTCATAAATCATAGCCAGATGAAGCACAGTCAAATAATTGATAGCAAGTTAACATTGTTTAAGACATAAGAAAAAATAATGTATTCAATTTTTATTAAAAAGAAATGCAAATTCTACTCTTATAAAATGTACTTATCTAGTATCCTATGTTTATATATTTAGTTTGAATAGTAAATGAGTCTATTACAGTGTATCCTAAATTATTATTAATTATTACTTTATATTGAGTATTCTATAGAAACTCTATTTGTTATATTTTAAAGGTATGTGCAATTCCTGGTAAACATGAGGCAGTTGAAAACATATTAGGTATTAAGTATATCTAATCTAAGAACAATTTCACATTGCTTTTACACTGACAGTGCAATACCTCCTGCTGTCCAGTAGATGTCAGGCTTTACTCAGATTTGGCCTTTAAGGCTTTGTTGCTCTTCCTCTTTTACCCCAGTAGCCGCTTTCACACCAAGTACTTTGCCGTACTTAGTTCCCAGCACTTAGTTCCCAGCACTTAGTACCCCCATGGAACTAAAGAGCAGATCGAGTTCACACCGGAATAAGTCCCTGAGGGAAGATTACGCAAATGAAGCCGCTGACGTCACTTCTTCTTCTGCGTTGGGTTTACTGGCAGGCCGCAAACAACTTCACGGTGTATACTGCCACCCGAAGTCCCCGGAGTTGGGGAAGCCTTCCGAGTAAATCGCCAGAGCGTCGACACCTCCTCATCACTCCACCGCTCCCATGTTTTTTTTTTTTTGCCATAAGTTAGTCTCTCTCCGTTGGTGCGCGGGGCTAATGCTAATGCTAATAATGCTAATGCCAGCAAATACAATGGCGGCTTCACAAAACTTTCCAGAGTTTTACGGGGCGGGGTTTGCAATTCACCCAGCCAATCGTGTGTGTGTGTGTGTGTGTGTGTGTGTGTGTGTGTGTGTGTGTGTGTGTGTGTGTGTGTGTGTGTGTGTGTGTGTGTGTGTGTGTGTGTGTGTGTGTGTGTGTGTGTGTGTGTGTGTGTGTGTGTGTGTGTGTGTGTGTGTGTGTGTGTGTGTGTGTGTGTGTGTGTGTGTGTGGGTGTGGGTGTGGGTGTGGGTGTGGGTGTGTGTGTGTGTGGACTGGCTTCCCTTATGGGGACAAAATAAGGGGAATCATTTTAGGGTGAAGACCTGGGGCCTATACTACGAAGCAGGATTTTTGTTTAGCCAGCTAACTTCAGGGGTTTCCGGTCCTACGAAGCTGGTTCACTTTTTAGCGGGCTAGATAACTTATTCTGAGCGGCTATCCTCCGGAGCAGGATAGGTTCCAGGATAAAAGCACTGCCTGCTGACCAATCAGAGCTCAGTGTGCGGAGTTTAAAGCGATCAATTCATATGACAGGAGGAGAAAGGAAATACAGTTTAAACTGCCGTTGCAGGAAAGACGGCCGGCCAAAATCACCGACTGTGTGAGCGTGAAAATTAATAGAATATCCCCTCCCATCTTCAGAGCAATCTGACTATTATAACATTAGCGTTAAGAAAGCTTAATTAAATATCTGCCACAACATAAGTAACCGGATCAGAGTAACATTAAATACAGTCCGCGGCACTGTGAGTTCAGACGGCGATGAGTCCCATTATCAATCATATCACATCATAATGTATCATATATTTCCTTATCTGAGTCAGCTTCTTGAGCTGTATCTGGCGTGCAACACTCACAGTGTCACATAGCCTACTGTATGCAGAAGTGTTATTTTAAGCAACACATTAAGTTGACGAAACACTCGAGTCAAATGTAATTAAAGTCAGATCCACTCGTGTCTTAGACGGGGCAGCAGTGATATCATAAAACTGTTAATGAACGTATTCAAACACTTTTTCTTTTACCAGCAGTATTCACCTTGCAGGTGCAGCTATGTGGCTTTTATCCTGGATAAAGTGTTTAAGTCATGGATGTTTAAAGTTTAACGTCTTCATATTTGTCTAATATTAGTTGACTTTTCATTCAGGAAATATATGACGCGCTGCGCTGCCAGTACACGGCTTGTCCATGTTTGTGATTGGTCGAACACTCCAAATACAACCCCTTTCATGTGAACGCGCACCTAACTAGATAGGACACGGCTGGCTTGAGCAATCGAGTTGATAGCCAGCGTCGTAGGACAGTTTAGCGAGAGCGTTTTTTTTTTTGATTTAGTCAACCGGATAACTCAAAACATATCCAGGATATGTTGAACTAGATTCGTAGTATAGGCCCCTGGTTAGGGTTAGGCATGTGTTGGTTAAGGTTAGGATAAGTCTCCAGGAAATGCATGTAAGTCAATGTAATGTCCCCTGAAGTAATGTATACATGGTATGTGTGTGTGTGTGTGTATAGGGAGGCTCACCGTCTGGAGGCGTTCGGCCAGGGAGAGGCCCTCCTGCAGGGGCCCGTGCTGGAGCAGCTGGAGGACAAACTGCACTTCTTCGTAGAGGAGTGTGACTACCTGCAGGTGAGCCATGATTTTATACTGGACGGTATTATAACCGTATTGTGTAAGCAGTGGTGGAAAAAGTACTCGAAAGTAGCGATTCTTAAAAGTCTGACCAAGGTAAAGTACCAAAGTGTTGGCATCAAAATATACTAAAGTACGAAAAGTACTCGCTATGCGTAGTGGCCCATTTCAGAATCATATATAGATATAATTACTGATTATTGATGCATTAATCTATGGGGGGGGGGGGGAAATAACAACACAATGCCAGAAATAAAAAAAAAAGTAAAAAGTGATTTCATACAAGTACATAACAGATCACAATAATATCCACCATAATATAATTTTTTTTAAATCATTTTAAAGATAAACCATTTGCAGTAAATCTCGGTTTAAGCTGTCATTAACTCCTGGTCTCTCTGCATTTCCTATCAGGGTTTCCAGGTGTTGTGTGACCTGGCGAATGGCTTTGCAGGCCTGGGGTCAAAGGTCACAGAGATGCTACAGGACTCCTACGGTGGGAGGGGCATCCTGACCTGGGGGTTAGCGCCTGTCAGTCACCCGGATTCAGTGAGTCACCTCCTCCAGAGGGATATTTAAAATGCTGACGTTTTGTAGATGTGCTTCTGTACTCACGTTGTTCCCCCCCCCCCAGACCCCCATGAGGGAGCTGTACCACCAGCTGAACTGCACCTTAGGGACGGTGAGCATGGCCAGCCACAGCTCCTTCTTCTGCCCCCTCACTCTGAGGGGGGGGCTGGGCAGACGGCCCTCTGCTCCCGCTGCGTTCCCCTACCTAAACTATGATGTGAGTTTTTGATTTAATTTACCATGTTTCTATCTGTGCTCTTTGCAAATTTACTTATTATTTTAAAGAGTTTTTAAGGGATGTTTATAATGATTTACTAAGTTCAATTTGATATTTTTTAATACCATTTCAATGCCTTATTTTGACAATTCTTTCTTGACATTTATCTTACTCAAAATGACATTAAATACATAAATGAAACAAACAATATGACAAATGTGAATGAAAAGAAGTGTCAAACTGTCTCTCTTAACTAACACTAAACTAAATGTTAAGACTCATAAAACGTATTCATTTCTTTAAGATTTTTAATTTAGATATGATTAGGAAATTGTTAAGGGCGATCCAGACCAAAATGATAAGAATATTTATAAATCTATAACTTTAATAGTATCCTATGCTTATATATTTTTCTACTGTTGATATGTGTATATTTACTTTTTCTTGTTTCATTTTATAATGTTTAACTTGTGCAATGCCAAGTTTGAAGACTAATTCAACTTTATTCAAATACAATTCTTTAAGATTTGAAATTTAGATTTGAGTAAGGATATGGAAAGGCTTAATATTAGTACATTTAATATTTTAGGAATCATTGTAATTCAACTAGATGGTGGAGTTCACACCATAATTATAAAGACAAAAACAATACTTTTTTTGAGAGTTTATCATGGCCAAGAGAATCGCAGTCAGTCATTTAAAACCCATCTGAACATGAATGTGTATTTCTTCCACACAAGAGAGTGGATTAGAAAACAATAGTCTCAAATATTTTCTATCATAAATAAAGTTTATGAAATAAACAGCATCCATTTGCTCATTGTGGCCCAGCAGCAGCTCATTTTCAACTGTTATTATTTATTTATATTCTAATGTGAATTTCCCTCTGCCCAACAGACAGCAGTTATGGGTCATCAATATTATTTTGTGTAGGTCTAACACGGCTGCAGTGTATGCTTAGTGTCCATGTTTAGTTAATGTAATATCATCAAATATATATAAGGAACTATCTGTGCTGTCCCTCCCCTCTCTCAGCCCTCCCTGTGGTACCACTCCTCCTCCGTGCTGGCCCTGGCCCTCGATGCCCTCACCCTGCCCTACAGGCTGCACAGAGACAGCGTCCCCATGTGGCAGATGGCCGACTCCCTGGCCGTCTCTGGCAGGAAGGTGAGAAACTGCTGCTGCATTATCCCTCATATCTGTTTGGGATGATCATGCTCTCAGCTTTTAATGACGGGTCTAATATGAATCCTAGGTGGTGGCTGCTTACGGTGCAGTTCCCTTACCCATGATGCAAGGCAGCTCTCTCCCTGACGCCCTGACTGCCTGCACAGAGGCGTTGCCCTGGAAACCTCTATCAGCTTGCCCTGAACCCGACAACGGGCGATTATACGGCCAGTGGGCGACGCTCAAAGGCTACGAGGGACAGAAGCTAACCAGGTCTGAATTTTCTTATTAAATTAATAATGGACAGTGTTTTAATGTATTTTAAACACTAGTGCTGTACCCTTCACAGTGAGTCATCATTTAAAAGAGCGTTTTTGCACTGCTGTAGAAAACTGTCTGGCCGCTTGCAGCTGCCAGGTGTGAAGTTGATTTGATGAAAGGTTCTTGATATATGCTAAGGATATTTATACATACCGGTACATAGACGGACATAAAATATTTTCCTAACCATAGAACACTAACGAACAATATCACCATTACTTCTCATCAAAATACATTTAAGTACACCAATACATGGCAAATTGAAGTACTCTTCTACTGTTTTCCTCTATACAACGTCTCATAAAACACAAAAAAAGGAATCATTGGGGGATCCTATAAAAAGGCTCAAAATTAGGGAATCACTAATGAAAAGTTCCTAAAATAAATAAATAAAGACGCTGGGAACTTGTTCTTCGGTCCTCCCGTTCCTGGGACATGTGAGCCGTGTCCGGTGAAGGCACTGTCTCCCTGCATGTAAAATCCACCAGACAAATATTTTACCCTCAATCACTAACATCGGGTGAAAATAACCCGAACACGTGCATGTTGAAAAAACCAGGGATGGGAGCAGGGCAACACGCCTACCCTCTAGAGCAGTGGTTCTCAACTGGTCAGGCCTCGGGACCCACTTTTTCCTTTGTCCATAGATCGCGACCCGAAATTTGAACCACTCAAATCTATTCAACAAAAAATCGTGCTGTAATATATATATATATATATGCTTTTCAGCGTACAATATTAATTAAAGTGAAGTACACTGCATATCTCCCTTATATCCCTTCACAGAACTAAAGTATGCTTTTTAAAAAGGTTTAATGAGATGATGGAATCAAAGCTGAACTGTATAACATAAAAAGGCACACATGCTGAAAACCCAACCCCAGCAGGGGGGTCTGGGGGGATTCTCCCCCAGGAGATTTTTAGAAATACTAACATATAAACTACGCAATCTGGTACACTCTGAGAAGAAATTAAATAAATCTATTACTACCCGACATATTTAATAATATTTTATGCCATTTTTTGATTTTTACTTTGTTCTGTGACCTGTCAATCATCAAACCGGGGGTCGTATTTCATCATGTGTTCATTTTTATCTGAAGATGTACCCATGGATGTATAAAGAGTAGTTCTACCTCAAAGTTATTCTCCGTGGGGCTTCCGGCAACAACACCATGCCATTATCTTGATTCTGATTGGCCAGAAGACTCGAAAAAACATCAGCAAAGATGTTTTATTTAGAAGATGATCACTACGTGACAGAAGTTTTAAAACTGTTTATGGTCTCCGGCATTTCCAGTCAAACGGCTACTGCGTGCGCAGCGTTAGAACATCGGGCCTTCAAAATAAAAGTTCAAAATCTTTTGTAATCTTTTTTACACTTCTTTTTTTTTTTACTCGCACATCGCGACCCACCAGTTGGGAACCACTGCTCTAGACGTCAGTGAGCAGCCTCAAGCTACCCAAGGACCCCCGCAGCTCAGACAGCAGCGACACAGTGAAAATCATATGAACCCAATCACATGGGTGAAAATCACTGATGTTAGTGTTCTACAATATACAGCCATTTATTGGAACATGTGCACCAAATGTGTCAGGTTCAGGGGTTGACCATATGATAAATCAGACTGATCCCTGATTTTAGGCTGAAAAAGGGATACACTGCGTCGGATAAGGACAGTTACCACAGGGCTAAAGAAGTCTTTGAAATGAAACCAAAAACAACCCTTAATTTAGAGGGTTTTAACAAATAAGCGGTCCTTTTTTAGCTGAATTCATTTCATAGTTACCGTATGCTTTAGTATTTAAATGACAGTTTCATAATGTCAGGTTACTTTACTCAACAGTAAGGAATTGCAGGATTACACATGTAAGATATTAAAACAAACAGGCAGGCATTTACCCCTTAAACAGATACACGGAAATGTATGTAAAAGTGTTGCTGAACATGTTTCCGCTCAGCTCTCTGGCCCCGGGGACCCGGCCCCCCACCCCTCTGCACAGCCTCAACAGAGGGGAGGACGTCCTGGAGTACTACATCAGAACCTTCTACCCCTCGTCCCCCCTGTGAGTCCCCTCTCTGCCGCATGCTGTTAACTCTCATGTCCATTTTCCTTCCTCATCTGTAGGAGAAACAATATATTCTAATCCGATCTGCTCTCCATCTTCATACACAGGGCTCTGCAGTTGGTGTCCTCTCCCAGTAAGCTGACACCACCTTTCCCTCGGATATTCACCCCGTCCCTCGGTGCCCAGGGCTTCCTACAGAGCCAGCCTCCTCCACGTGGATGTAAGCAGATTTGTGTTCTTTTTGTAGCTTAAAGGGACGGTTTCAGAAGTCAAAGTAGTACTTAAACAGACAGGAGGGCCAGCAGTGAAGCAAAGCGAGGCCCTGCTGTGGAAGGGGGCCGCAGCACAACGTGTTAGAGCCACCTAAAAGAAAATTCAACATCAGTAAAGGTGTACGCTATATTTAGAAGATTTGTATCGCTCTAACTTGACGTCACACAGCTCTTCTCTGATGGGGAACTGAAGCCGTTATCTGTGCTCTCTGCAAAGCCACTGGACTCCAAAAACAGTCATTTTATCTTCTCCTGGAACACGTGAGCTGCTGCTGAACCCAGGGGTTAGCCTGGGCCCTGTCAACGGGTTCAGGATGTTATATATAAAGGATTTTTAATGATTAATTTAAACTACAAGTAATTATACCTTAAACGTCTCCTATCATGCAAAATGCACTTTTTGATGTCTTTTATACGTAAATATGTGTCCCTGGTGTGTCAGGGAACTCACAAAGTGTCAGAAAACTAAACCCTCTCTCTTTTCCTCCATTCCCAAATCTCTAAAAACGGGGGTACAACGTCGCTATCAGAAACAATGCGCAACGTGTTTTGGACGTAATATGGTCTTTGTTTGCATTAGCAAGCATCGCTAACACTCAGAGCTAACCTGTACTGGAGAGAGTATGTGTAAAAAAGCAGGAAATAAAAAAAGAACTCGCCTTGTGATAAACCCGCAAGAGAAAAAGCGTTTGAGCTCCATACTGTTTCAGAAATAATCCGTGATGGGGTTTGGAACATGATATGGCCTTTCATCACGGCAGCATTTAGCGGAGTAACTCGGTAGAATTCTGAGCAGGCACAAGCTCCTTCTCTTTTTCTTTTCTTTTTTTTTTTAAGCTAAGGACCCAGAATCAGCACTGAGGGGTATGAGGCATGGCTAGAATGGGTGCACTGTTTGGTATTTTGAGCAAAACACTTCATAGACATGTTTCTATAATTTATCTGAGACCTATAATATATGCCTAAAAATAGTATAATAGGAGACCTTTAAGATATTGCACACCTTTTATAGATATCCAAAACCATTCCATGACTTTCAAAGGGCCTTTTGCAATAACCTGTTCCTTGCAATCTTGCTAAAGACACATTTAAAGAATCTACATTATCCTACATGACTATGGCCAAAATCAAAAATCTAATTTTGAACTGCTACCTCCGCGACCCGACCACGGATAATCGGGAGAAGATGGAGATGGATGGATGGATGTTTTTTATACATAAACATGTGTCCCCTCTGTGTAAAGAGATTCTGAAAGTTTCAGGAAAAAAGATTCGCTCACTTTTTGTCCTGATCCATTTATATAAAAACCTGTCTGAAAATGAGCTGATCAGATTTTGGCCACTTTGTGATGTCATAACGATTTTTTGGCTTGTGTAACCATTAGCCAATCATCAACCCCCCCCCCCCACCTTATCACCTGAATCTCCTCCTAGAGCACCATTGTGTTCTTTGTAACCAAATATCTCTGAGGGGCGTGGGGAGTGGCTCCTTATTTTCATCTAATGGCGCGTTTCCACTACAGCGCGGAGCACGGTTTAAGAGGGCTGTGACGTCAGCGGCCCGTCTTTGGTTGCGTTTCCACTTGGCCTAGTACCGGCCGGCGGGTCCTAATTCACAGTTTTTCTGGCCTCATAAAATCGCGGGTCTAGGGCCAGAGACAACGAGGCTGAGTCGGGCTGAGTATGCTAAACTAGAGAGAGCATCGCTGGCAAGGGGGCTACAACTACAACAAGATGGACATATTTGACCGTGATTTAATTGTAATACACGTTTCAAAATGATGCCGAAGTAACAACATACTGATACCGGTTAGTAAAGACCATGAATTAATGCTTTGTCAAGTCTGCAGACAGACGGCAGGCGAAAAACCTTTTAAAATGCGTGTGTTCTAAATGGAGATTGGCTAAGCTAACGCAGTATATGCTCCGACCGTCCACACTCACAACAACGGCCTATACAGACATAAATAAAGCAGCGACTGTATTCACCATGACACAGGCAGTCTGTGGTTTGTACTTGTTTAACTTTTGTCTAGTTTCTGAACATATATGAGGAGCTGTGAGCTCTGAGTGCTAACAGCTAACGGCTGTGTTGTTTTTCTGGGGGTTCTCTGAAGATCACGTCACGGCTCCGCCTACACTGCGTTACTATAGATACTACCCCAGTTCCTAAAACTGTAATGGAAATGCGCCATAAAGTGAGCCAGTCCTAACGAGGCCCAGCCATACCGAGCGGGGCCGAGCGAGGCCGTGTAGTGGAAAAGCGCCATGCAGTAACAGACAGAATCAGCACTTTTGAAACAGGGCTGAAACAGAGGGGATTATGGGATGCTACAATGATCTGTTTGGTGTTTCAGACAAACACTTCAGAGACATGTTTGTATATATCTGAGACCTATAATATATTGATGAAAAACAGTATCATAGGGGACCTTTAACTTATTCTTGAAAAGTCCACCAAAATGTTGCATTCTGAAGTTAAATGCAGCAATCTCGTGCACTTTGAGATCAAAATGAGAGAGAAACTCCCCCTGGAGGGAACACAGGGATTTTAGCTCGGGTAATAAAACCGGCGACCTTCTCTCCCTCCCTTCCTCTGCAGCTCCGGCCCCGGTGGTCTCCTCGGCCCCTGTCATGACGTCCCTCCAGTCCTCCACATCGCTCGGCTCCTGGCTGGCCGAGATGCATCGCGGAGCCAGCACTTTAGACATCTGCCGCGTGGCCCCCAGCTTCCTCTCCCAGGGGCCCGAAATGGCCGACTACAGGGAGGCCCTGGAGGAGCTGCGCCTACTGTCCCGGTGTTACCGCGACGACAGCATGATACACTCCTCGTCAGAAGAGAGTGATGATTACTGATGCTGGTAGCTTTCTGGTCGTGATTTGAATAGACTGCTAAGGCATCAGCCCGCATGCACACACACACACATGCACAGCAAGAAGAGGAGCGGGGCCCCTGGTTTGATTTATATAACAGAATTAAGTGAAGTGTCAGATGAGGGAATATTAGAAGGTTAGACCTCTACATGTGAGAATACATTGAGGTGATGAATGTAGCATCATGTGACTGTATGGACTGTGGTTACATTTCCCTAAATTACTGTTTAACTGTAATTAAATGTGTTTTTTATACTAAGTATACATAAAAAGATTGTTTTTTTACGTTAAGTTGCTCCTGTTTTGGGCACAGGTTGCCCTATGAATTAACATGAATAGCATATATTGCCAAAAAAGTAACCAGCAGCCAGAAAAAGCAGAAGGATGCTCTCATATTCAAGTAAAAGATGGCCACCACAAATGCTTGGTTTCCTTTTTTTTACAAATTAGAATGTGTCACACAAACTGTTTAAAATGGTTAGAAAATGGTTTCCTGTTATTAATCCTGACGATTAAGTGATTTTCTTAAAAAAAGACCGTAGCTAACTGTCATGATTTCTGCCAGTGGCATTCAGCATCAGGCACATTTAGTTCTTACTGAAAACAGGTCATTGAAATATGTAATGTTGCTGCAGTTGGAGTACATATTGAATGTGTAGTTTGAATATTTTCAACCTAGGACGTCAGAATTCATATTAGTTAACGGTTTCTATTTAGTGTGAATGCTGTGCAACAAATAGAAGAACTATTTGAAAAAATAGTTCTTCAAATCTTTATATCTTCTTCTTATTAGTGCAAATGCTCTTTACAGTTCTTCAAATCTTTATTCTTATTTCAACCAATAATTTGCCGTAACTTCAGCATACTTTCAGCTACAGAAACCATTCAAATATTATTATTACTATTCAGCCTTTTCAGCAATCGATGGGAAACGTTCAACTTTTTCAAAATATTCAGCTTTTTAAACTCTTTTTTTAACATGGAAGTCAATCAATCAATCAATCATCAATTAATCAATGTTTATTTATATAGCCCAATATCACAAATGTTACATTTGTCTCAGTGGACTTCACAGTTTGTACAGAATATCAGTATGACAATACGACACCCTCTGTCCTTAGACCCTCACATCGTACAAGGAAAAACTTCCGGATAAAACCCACAGTTTAAAGGGGAAAATGGGAGAAACCTCAGGGAGAGCATCAGAGGAGGGATCCCTCTCCCAGGACGGACAGATGTGCAATAGATGCCGTGTGTAAATTGAAAAGATAATACATTTGCAACATAGATAGTCCAAATGTTTGGAAATGCATGTGTCTATAATAAGAAGATGAATCCACGAGGATATCCATCCAGGACTTATGATCCAGGACCACAGCAGCAGGCACAGCCACGACTCAAGATCCAGGGCTCGCGATCCAGGACTCAGGACCACAGCAACACGATCAGCCATGACTCCGGATCCCGGCGTAGTCAATGGGAGGAACCTTCAAATCCTCTTTTACCTACACCTTGCGCCAAATGCTTCTCCTTCCACATACTTTCAGCTACAGACTTCATTCCAACTTTAAAATGATCACAAGACCTTCAGCTATAAAACTTGTTCTTCAGATTTTTCATATCTTTTACACTTTTTGAGATATTTAACTTAGTTTGGAGCTTGGTAAAGAGGCTTTCTTCAGATTTTAACATGAGTGTGTATTGGGCAGCTCGTTGAGGCTTATGGCGCATTTCCACCATGGCGCGGAGCGCGGTTTAAGCGTGCCGTGTCGTGCCGGGCCCGTTAATGGTTGCGTTTCCACTATGCCTAGTTCCGGCCCGGGGCTACTTTTTCACCTTTTTTCTGGCCCGACAAAATCGTGGTTCTATCGGGGCCAACAAACGGGGCTGAGTCGGGCTGAGTTTGCTAAACTAGAGAGAGAATCGCTGGCAAGGGGGCTACAACTACAACAAGATGAACATATTTGACCGTGATTTAATTGTAATACACGTTTCAAAATGATGCCGAAGTAACAACATACTGATACCGGTTAGTCAAAACCATGAATTAATGCTTTGACAAGTCTGCAGACAGACGGCAGGCGAAAACCTTTTTAAATGCGTGTTGTCTAAATGGAGATCGGCTAAGCTAACGCAGTATATGCTCCGACCGTCCACACTCACAACAACGGCCTATACAGACATAAATAAACCAGCGACTGTACTCGCCATGACACAGACAGTCTGTGGTTTGTACTTGTTTAACTTTTGTCTAGTTTCTGAACAGATATGAGGAGCTGTGAGCTTGAGTGCTAACAGCTAACGGCTGATGTTGTTTTTCTGGGGTGCTCATTGAAGATGACGTCACGGCTCCGCCGACACTGCGTTACTATAGATACTACCCCAGTTCCTAAACTGTAATGGAAGCGCAGCATTAAAGTGAGCTGGGCCTAATGAGACCTAACAAAACCGTACTAAGTCGAGCGAGGCCTGCGGTGGAAATGCGCCATTAGAGTGCGTGATGTCACCGCTAGAGTGGAGGAGAGCTTGAAATCCGCCTTACATTTTCTTTTTAAAACTGCCATAATTCCAAAACCCTACACTCCTGGGACATCATTGTATGCTTGAATTGTAGGAAAACCTCTCTTACGTTGAAAAATAAAAATAAATTAAACAAAAACATTAAACAAAATGCCTCTTGAGGACATGAAGTGACAAAAACTTTCAACATGTCCCCATTAAGGCCAATTGTAAATGCAGCGTCATCTTTCATCACAGCACCAGCTGCACACCTTTAGTTAATCTGCCAAAAATGCCACATTATTGACCCAAAAGTACAAAAAAAGCACACATAGACACTCCCCAGGGTCCTGAGATGCTCCACGCATTGAAGTTTTACCGATATCTGTTACGGTTCTTCAACAAAACGTTCACATGTAAGAGGTTTATCTCTCATTCAGATCAATGGAAAAGCTCTCTCACTGATTACTGCACATCACCATGGAAACCTTTGATCTCTGGGCTCAAGCGCAGGTGTTATGATAACGTCGTTAGCTCAAACACAAACACCTGTGTGATGATGTCATAACTCCACTCTGGCCCTGAACAGCTGAGTGACATCATCTAATCAGAGCAGACACGCCCACAGACAGACTGGTACACGCACACACAAACAATGGATGTCTATACTACATTATGTTCACACACACACACACACACACAGTGACAGGGACACATACATATGGTTTTAGTTCAAAAGTTTGAAGTTAAAATATTCTGCTGCTTTTCAAAGCGTTTTTACTTTCTTTTCTCTTAATACACATTCACTACTACTTACATTTAATATCTAACTCCTTCAGCCTACTTTCAGCTGCAGAAACCATTCAACTATTACATTATTCAGCTATTTCAGGACATTGAGGCTATACATGTTTATACCTTTTTTAAACCTTTTCTTTTAAATATTAAGCTTCTTCACTATTTTTCCTACTCTTCCAGTTTAACATTTCACTTTCAAGTTTTCAACAAAGTCATTGCAATGCATTTGAGCTGTAACAATTTAGATTCAAATAATTTCACTTTTCTGCATTTCTCCACGAAGTTCAGCAACACACTTACTTGGTTTTTGTAGCTAAAAGCAGCTACAGCATATTCAAATAACATATTCAGCTTTTTCAGCTAAATTCAGCAACAAATACAGTTTACAGCATTCACACGCATTTTCTAGTTCTATTTCAAAACCTGACTTTTCCAGACTCGATGTTAAATATTTATCTAAAAATGTAAAATCCAATTAACATTTATCTTCCTTGGTCAGTTTTCATTATGTTAGCCAGGTAGAACATTGTAGCTATGGGTTCATCACACCAAACCAACAGTACCATTCAGTTTTGTCCCGTGAAAATAAATAACTTACTACCGATATAACAATATATGGGATGTTTATGTAATAGGGAACTAGAAAGGGTATGTGTGTATGTGTTATTTATTTCCTTTGAATTCACAATGTTGCATGTGAGAAATGTAGGTTGAAAATGTCAACATAAACACATTGTGTAATACTCTACAAGTCGATTAATGAAAATGAGCCTGCTTATCTGCGCCGCTGTTTGCACGTGTAAACTTGTCACACCCAGCTGAGCAAATACAATACAAAAACACAAATCCAAGACCACTTTAGAACAGGCATTTTATTTTAATCGGAAATAAAATGATACAAGAATTTCACAAAAGGTGAGGAGACGTTAGGACATATTCCCACCGAACCGTATGCTTCTACACTTGATTAAAAAAAGGCTAAAACACATACCATCATTTAAACTTATAAAACTGAGATTGCACCCTGTTATTTTACAAACACCCCCATACGATACAGCTCTAATGAAAAAATATGTTGCGTAAAAGTCAAAGGAAATGGAGTAGCATGTGCATAAAAGACATCAAGCACAAATGCCTGGAACACTACAGCTATTTATCAAAAAACAGGGGCAGGGGTAGTGTTGTGGGATCTGGGGAATGTAAATGGAGGGCAGGGGGGAGACACTGGGATAAGGGCTCATGACAACAGTCAAAAATATGAACTAAGAGCGGGAACGGGAGCGAGAGGCAGAGTGGGATTTGGAGCGGGACTCCGAGCGGGAGCGGGAGCGGGCTTTGGCAGGTGTGGGGGTACGTGATTTGGATTTGGACTTTGATTTAGACCTGGCTCTGGATTTGGATTCAGCGGGGGAGCGGGAACGAGAGCGGGAGCCCCTCTCGGGCTCAGCCCCCTCGTCCTCGCTCTTAACTGGCTCACGGCCCTTGGAGCCTGATTTCCTGGAGCGATCTTTAATTCCTGATCTAGAGCGAGACCTGGAACGAGACCTAGAGCGAGACCTGGAGTCATCCTTCTTCTTCTTGACGTCTTTCTTGCTCTTTTTGCTCTTGGGGCTGCGGCTCTTGGGGCTGCGGCTCCTGCTGCGGTCCTTGTTCTTCGGCGCGCCATTGCTGCGCTCTTCTTCTTCCTTCTTGACCTTCAGCTTATTCTTCTTGCTACGAGATCGGCTGCGGGAGCGGGACGCCGCTCTGTGGACAAAAATCAGACAGTTGAGATTATTTATAGTTTCCTACTACCTCAACCTAGCTAAACTAAATACCCTCTTACATAAAGCTCATCACAACAGGCACAATCATTTACTGGAAAAACAGGTATATTAAATGTATTATACGTAAATGCAAATATAATAAAAAAAGTCATTTCAAATAAAGGTTCTGAACCAAATGAAAATAAGGACAAGAGGACTCAGAGTTTAAAATGCAAGATGGCAGTGAGAACAGTATTTGAGAAATGTAGCTGTATCTTTATTGCAACCGTATGAACCATCAGTGGACGGAGATCAGGCTACACTTACAACAGCTATAGATATCATGCTACTACTAGCATCATCTGATATACTCTAAATGTACTCAAGTGCACGCACCCCTGCACTTTCATTGACTTGTGAAAATCTATTTATAGCTCTTATAGTTCTCTGATCTTACTACCAACTAGTGTGCCCACATCTTGTGTATTTGAATGGCAGCTGCTGAGAGGCATTATATCTAGGGCTGTCAAGTTAACGCGTTAATAAAGCGTTAACGCAAAAAAAAATTAAGGCCACTAATTATTTTAACGCATGTGTATTTTTTGTCCTCGGCCGCCCCGTAGTTTCAGAGCGCATCGAGTTTAAAATACCATCTACAAGCTGATGCCGACAGCCCCGCTCCTGCTGCCCGCTTGTGGCAGACCACACTTCCACGCTCACCGGCAGGCCGGGAGGGTGTGTATGTGTGGGGCGAGCGAGGCACACCTTACGTGTTGTTAGCATCTGGTGCTAGCTAGCTGCGCTAACGGATATAAGGAGCTGTTTCAATGAAAACAGGAGCGACATTTTGCCGAGCACTTGACTTTATGCAGGTAGCCACAGTGGGACATTGTCACACACACAGTCACACACACAGACACAGACACACACACAGACGTTCCAGGTTGAATAGAGGCGAATATTTGTAATGTTCAGAGGTTGTTGTGTTTAATATTCATGAGAATATTAGTCATTGTTCAAATGATAATAAACAAACATATAAAGCATATTTGTCCACTCATATGTTGATAAGAGTATTAAAAACTTGAAAAATATCCCTCTAAGGTACATTTAGAACAGATAAAAAATGTGCGATTAAATATTTTAATCGACTGACAGCCCTAATTATATTACATGTTACTTGTTAGATGCTTTTATCCAAAGCGACTTACATACTCAATACTGTGGACAATCCCCACAGGAGCACTTTGGGGTGAAGTGTCTCAGGGACACAACGACATGCTGACTGCAGTGGGGTTTGAACCTGTGCTCCCCTGATCCGAACACCAACGCCCTACCCACTGCACCACACGCCTTTTGGGAGATCAAATTGCCAAAAGCAAGCCTCACAACAAAAAAAAAAGATACAGCTTCTTCTCATTTATTGATGGATCTTCCTACTACTAAAACGGTATACATTCAGGCGGTGCTCTCTGAATTCACATTTAAATATTAATAACTTTGAATTCTCCACTTTAGCCTTTTATTAGAATGTACTATTTACTTACGAATGCACCATCTTCTGCATTGCAAATGGCACTATCAGCATGTGGTTATACGTTTTGTACACGATTTTTAAGATAGAAATTATAAGTAATATTTAAGATCAAGTCCAAATAATGTGCATTTTCTCAAATGATTGTTTGCCCTGCAGCAGGTTAACCCTGTGATTGAGTGAGGCAAAAATAAAAACAAATATTGTTTCCTGCATTAGCTGCAGTCCCTCATACTTTACATTGACGCAATGTAGTGTTATCAGATGAGTTTTAAGGTTGCCCCTTCTTAAGTCATATTTCTTCTGGACCTTTACGTATTCTGCAGATTACTATCTTGACAGGAAAACGTATTGTTGATTTTACTATTTTATTTGTATTCAAGTCCCAAAATGAGTTCCAACGGCCCTACTATTAAGTAGACAGTCCTTTCTGATAGGTTTGATCCTCACCTGGAGTGGGAGCGGCTGCGGCTGCTGCTCTCGCTGCGGCTGCGGCTCTTACGAGACCTGCGGCTCCTGGAGCGGGACCTGAGGAAACAGAGTAACAGTTGGCAAAAGGTACAAGATTCAAGGCTTTATTGTCACGTGCACATAAGCTACAGTGTAGATAGGGCAAAGAAAAACGTATGTCACAGGCTCCTCCAACAGTGTAACATGAATATATAAAAACAGATAAAATAGTGCAAGAGAATGTAAAGAGGGGCCAAAGACACGGCAGCCATCATCACCGGCGCCATCTAAGTACAATGCTGGTACAAGAGCTTCAATTATTGTTATAAAGATTTATTGGACGCCAAGCCAGCACCTTTTTTTAACTGTATGCAGGGTTCCTGCAGGTTTCGCCAACTCAAATTTAAGACTTTTTAAGACCTTTTTAAGACCACTTTGAATAGAATTTAAGACCTATTTCACGGCAAGAAAGTATGAAGGAAAATTGCTATGAAAGAAGAAATACGTCCCAAAATTACTTACAAAGTAAATGAATTCATGTTCAACATAAGAACAATGACTGAACATACTGTAACAGCATAACAGTACAGAACTGTGTTAGCGTGTCAGACAAAAAGTGTGTATGTGTGTCTGTGTGTATGTTCGGGCTGTGCAATTAAATCGTATTTTAAATCGCAATTACGATTTTGGCCTGCCACAATTACGAAAACATAATCTAGTCTATTTTTATTTATCATATTTATATATGTTTAGTAGCTTGTGGAAGTGCGCTCAAATATTTGTTGATTTTGTTTATTGGTATTTATTATTTTGATATTATTTATTAAAATGTATCATTTATTTAATTTTGTAAAAAGATACTGTTCAAATTATTTGTTTTAAAGTTCAATAAATGGATGTTTTCAAAGTCAATGAATAATCATATTTAATAAACGTGATAATTATTGACCAAAATAATCGTGATTTCTAACGTGATTTTTGCCATAATGGAGCAGCCCTAGTGTGTGTGTGTGTGTGTGTGTGTGTGTGTGTGTGTGTGTGACAAGAGCTATACTCGGAGCTCTGCTGCCTTGGCTACAATCTTTCATCGTTGCTGTTGTATGATTGGTGTTTAACTACGGTATTTAGCGTCTACAGCACCTCCGCTTTTAGGGTTGACGTTGCCCGGAGGTCCCCCGGTGTCGTTGCGGGAGCTGCTGCATTAGCTAACGCTGCACTAGCTAACGCTGCACTAGCTAACGCTACACTAGCTAACGCTACATTAGCAAAACAAACGCTATTTTTTTTGTGCAAAAGGTGCAGCGGGCTTCAAACACATTCCCCTTCCCTGGTTTCAACCAAGCACTAAATTCGATGTTTTCCAACCAAATACGGTTGAACTTACACTTCCCCATATTTATTTGTAAGTAGATTCGAAGACACATGAGTTTCTGACTGCCGCTAGCTGAAGCTTGGTTGCTAGGTTACTAGGTTACTAGCTGGGTGTTCTCCGATAAGGGGCCGGGGGAAACAAAGTTAGTGATTACTGGTTCCATGTTGATTTATTTCAATACAAATTGTTGGGGGGAACTGAAAGGCTATTACCGTACTGGTTACTTTGCAGCCCGGACATTTCCCCCAAAACACATTTAGACGCGATCGCTACACAGAAGTACCTTTCAAATCTGATCATTTTTAAGACCTTCTAAATCATATTTAAGACCTTTCTTATTTGGTAATATTTAAGACCTTTTTAAGGCCTTAAATTCAGATTGTCAAATGTAAGACTTTTTAAGACCCCGCGGGAACCCTGTGTATGCTCATTTTTCAAAGACCTTTTTTGTTGTGCAGTTTAACTTCCCCTTACATTTTTTGCATGCAGTATGCATCAGGAAGTCACGTCAAATAACAGCAAACAAAAGAACCGGTCTGACCTGGAGTGGCTGCGACTGCGAGAATAAGAGCGCTTGCGTCTGGCTCCAGGGCGGTCCTCGATCAGACGGATCTTCCTTCCATTCACTTCGGTGCCGTCGAGCTTCTCCAGAGCCCTCTTCATGTCGGAGTAGAGCCTGAACTCTATCACCCCCTCGTTCCTGCGGCCCTTGTGGGTGTCGGCATAAGTCACCTCCCCTGCCTGTCTCATGTAGTCCTTAAGGAAAAAGCAAATATATCATTAAGTAGATCTGCGAGACAAACAAAACCAAATAATATGTTGGTGTACTAAACGGCTATGGAAATGGATAAAATAGATCTTCATACCTTCAAATCCTGCCAGCTGCAGCGACTGGAAAGATTCTCAACAATGAGCCGATAATCTGTCCTTATGGGTGGACCATATCTGTCTCTTCCAAAGCGACCATATCCACCTTTTGAGGTAACAGGAAAGGACAGGGGAAAAAATGAGGACCCCAAACAAACTGTGGTGGTGCATTTATGCTAATCTCCAAGCTACACACTACCAAATATATCAATATTGACTTGGGAAAAGAAAAAAGGGGCAAAGCAAAAGGTGAGAAAAGTATTACAAAAAAAGGCTGAATTTATAATGTGCTAAAAAAAATATTCAAAAGCCTCAACCTATAAAGTACATTTTTAAGCTTATCATTTTAGCAAATGTTGGTAAAAAAAAATCTATGTGCCTATTTTCTAAATAATATAATTTTCTTTTACTGAAAAACTGTTTGAGGAAGTACTTACGGTGAACTAAAGCAAGATTCTAAGCTACCCTATCTAGAAAAAACATTTTACTTTTACAAAACATGTTCTTTTTTCAGGCACCCATAAGAACTGAACCCACATCTGTTCCTAACCCCCATGGCATCCTCACCACCCGGCCTGGGCCTAATGGGAAAAGCGGTCTTCATTCACAATGGCTCCCTTTTTTGGTCTGCCCAGGGGCCCAGAATGGTCAAACCACACTCTTGGAAAGGGGGGACACCATGGCCAGCAATAGGGGCAGGCAGTCAGCAAAGGACTCTTCCAATTAAAACATTGAGGTTCTTTGTTAAATCTTTACCTTTAAATTGACAATCATTGTAAATGAAATAAAAAACGGAATAAGACATCAATAGATTACAAGATATTTAACAATCAAATGGCTATTTTTACAGTATTTAATGAAGACATTTATATCCTTTCCATCAGTAAGCCATTTCCTCATCACATAATCAAATGTAACTGCATTTTCAAACCATTACATGGTAAACCCAAGACATTTCTTCAAGTCATTGGTGGCTTTGGTGCACACAATAATAATAATTATGACATGTGCCGATATGGAAATCTCTCTTCATGCCTACTGGTGAAAAAAAATGTTAAATGCTGTCGTGAGTGGGGCTTGTACACCGTGTGCTAAAATATTTGCAAGACAATTAAAAACAAACTCGCAGCTCTAGAGTGCCCTATCTGAAACTGAGACATTCATTTATGTTAAACAGGTCATCGAAAACCTGGAAGAATCAATGGGGCCAGAACAAAAGCAAAAACTGATGAAATTAGCACAAGGGAGGGCATGGTGGATAGGTGTAAGGAGTTTCATTTAAAGATGCACAAGTTGGTGTTCCTTCATTAGGTATCGAGAAAAGGTACCAACAGAGCTCGACAATACCGACCAAAATATTATTTTATACATCTTCATGTGAACTGGTTCTAGATCTTCGAGTTGCTTACTCTGTCTATTTTGTCAGCATTTTAACCAATCTTGCTATTCACACATATTTAGAGACTACAGTGATAATTTGCCATCAGTCAAAACGCTCGTATTGGTGAACATTGTGGACAGGCTAACTTATTTTGCACTCCATTTTCTAAATATCAAACCCATAGTTTTTAGGTATAGCTTGTGTGACTAAGAAAAGTCTATGTTAAGGAGTGAGCTTAAGTACCACCAACATGAACAAACACTAGGATATCAATTGAGTGCACATCAGCCACCAAGGACAAGCTCAAGATTTTACCCCTTTGAAATTTAGATTGTTTCCCAGTAATGAATGAAACCCCCAATCAATGACATAAAAAACAAAACTTTTCTTTATTAAACACTTACTGCTGCTGCTGCTTCTTCCTCCTCCTTCACCACCTCCTCCTCCTCCTCCTCTATCGCCGCCGCCTCCTCCTCCTCCTCCGCCGCCTCCTCCTCCTCCTCCTCCTCCTCTGCCGCCGCCGCCACCACCACTACTACTACCTCCGCCACCACCACCACCACCATAACCTCCATCCCGACGGGGTCCCTTGGTGTGCTCCACAATGACTCTTTCACCACACAACTCCTTGCCGTTTAAGTCATAAACAGCATCATCTGCATCACGGGGGTCATCAAATTCAACAAACCCATACCTTTACAACAGAAGAGAAAATGTTTTAACATCGGGTTACAAAAAAAATGTTTGGAGTTCATAATCGGTCAGTCAGGTGGGCACAAACTGGCCAAAACACAACCACTACCCTATGTAGAAAGAGTAGCACAAGATTTTTAAGATGTTATCAGCATGGCATACTGATAGCAATTTAGATTTTACTGGCTGAAAATAATGAACTTTATTTCCAGATTTTGAAAAGGGATGGTGACTCTCAGAAATGCGTTTTACACAGCTTGGTGTGTGTGTGTGTGTGTGTGTGTGTGTGTGTGTGTGTTATATATATATATATATTTTAATGGCTTGTTACAAAACAAATCTTAGATAGTTCATATACAATTCTTACTAGCACATATTTTATTTCCACTAGTAACTTTACTAATTAAGATATTTTAAAATGCTAGATATCTGTACACACTAGAAATGTGTATAAAGTCAATAGTCTGCTAATTAATTAAATGGTTATATTGATTGATTATATGCGAATAATACAATTATATTAGCAACAATTTGATGTTTGGTGAATTTGTATTCGTTTGATCTATTCTTCAGTTAGACTACACAAGTATGAATGTCTATTAAAACAGAAATTCAAAAATGCTACTTGGATATCTATTTTTGGAAGAGTAATGGACCGTTTTTCAAGAGTTTCAAACAAAGAAAGTTTTCAACGATACAGCCAACACTTAAATCCAAAAGTTGCCTGGCGTATACAGAAATTGCGAATCTATTGATTTAACAAGGATGCAAACTTCATACATAATAGACAGTGGTTCTGCAAAACGAGCACACGCGTCGATTCACTTTGTTTCTTGTAGACTGGTGGTGGCCATTTTTCGAAAATTCTGAAGACCAAACACTAAATGGGTGATGCAAATAATCGTCGTTTGCAGCCCTTGATACAAGGAACTAGCACCTAACTAACAGATCCTTATTCATAATAAAAAAAACTCACCACTGGTCTATATCAAAGAAGCTGCACGTTAAAAAACACAAACATTGCATTCGTGGACATTTTCTGCGATTGAATGTACTGTGAATCATGATGGTGATGTTTGATTAAAAATAAACAACCTTCAAGTCCAAACAAAGAGCATTCATAAATACATTATTTATGAATGCTCTCCATCAATGCTGTACTGAATAGCATCGATGGAGACGTTTGAAACAGACATATCAAGCTTGATTGTACCAAGTATCTTGAATAAAATAGCCCTGCCATATCTAAAGTATTGTGCATTCGCGAGGATCGAGATTAAATACGAGATTGGCTGAACTTGCACTTGTTTAGCTCATGGTTAGCTTGATATATACAAGGCCGCCAGTGACATTGCCACGTCTAACCTTAGCTAACTAGTTAGCGTTGTCCGAGATAGCCCAAACGTTACCTAATAAGCAGCAATATGGGCTTTGATACAGTTTCGAGAAGAATAATAATTATAACAAAACAAACACCTCAGTCCATTACATATTATAGACCGTTTTCATTTGTAATTATAAAATATGCTAACAACTAGCTTAGCATTAGCTGGGCGCACGACCAACAAGGCCTAGACGGCACGTTTTCGGCCTTTGCAGGCGTTAGCTTAGCACCGACAGAACACCAAAAAATGTTACCCGTTTTTCAGGTCGACCTCGAGTATCTTCCCGTAGCCTTTGAAAAACCTCTCCACGTCCTTTTCTCGGGCCCTGTAGCTCAGTCTTCCAATGTACACCCTCGACATCTTGTGTGTTAGCTACTGTATGCTAACGTAGCGAAATGTGGGATCCGGCTAAAACCGAACGAGCACACAGACCGGAGGAGCGAGGCTGCAACTATACATACACGCGCTCCTTTGGTACAATAGGTCCGAGCTGCAGGGGGCGCGGCCTCTTCTGTTTGGGTTCTTTTGGCCTGAGTTCAGTCTCTCAGGTAAAAGGTATCACAAGCTAAGAATCTTATTACCTATCAATATTGAGACGAGATTAATTGAATTCCTATTAGTATAAAGTTAATTGAAAAGTTTGTTATGAACTAAATAGGAATGTGCCCTGATTTGGTGCATACAACTGACATATTAAAAGGAAATATAGGCAAAGTACTTTAAAAAAGAAAAACAGTATGGTCCAATACAAATATTTACAACTTAATTTTATTACAGTGTTTTACTTGCATAATCGAATATTTTTCAGTAATGTACTAGGCAAAAACAGTAAATAAATCAAAAAATGTAAAGACCAATGTTAAACTTTTGACTTTACCTCATTCATTTTTTTGTAGATTTACATGAGATGAGTTGGTTAATGACAATATGCAAAGTATAACGTTATCAAATACATGTATGGGAGTGAAAAAGTACAACGTTTGCTTCCAAAATGTGGTGGAGTAGAATTATAAAGAGACAGAAAAAAATGAAATAACCAACATAGTTAATACAAGTAATAGGTAATGCATTAAATTGAGAGGAGTCTGCCTGCAGGCCTCCACTGATTAAATTACTTTGCACTACTGCATTTAAAATGATGGAACCAACACATGTATGCATGATCTATCTAGTACATACACAATTCCCTCAGTGATAGTTGATTATAAGAATGTTTCATGATACATTATTATCTCCGTTACGACACGAGATAGATCATCTAATCTTTCAGGTTCTTTCTAACACGCGGTGAGGTTTTTAAAGGTAAAACCTTTACATCCCGGATTTTGCGACCTGTCGATACACGCATGTGCCGCGGTGGGCGGGGCTAACAACGACACGGACAAGGGATCATTACAAAAACACCAGCTGCTCTTCTTATGTGCAAGTTATTTTTTAACACACTTAGATTCCCTTAAATGCCTTCAACGTTTTAATAGAGGATATTTGAATGAATTTACGCTGTTATTTCAACATGAAAGTTTTGGCAACTTTTTTCTTCACTGGGCTAAAGAACGTGAAGTCGCTCTGGGAGGGAAATAACGGTACAGGACGTTAGCCGAATGTTAGCTAAGCAGCAACAGTTGGTCTGTTGGTTGGTCAACTAGCTAACTGACAAAAACGCTCATGGAGCGCGCGACTTTTTCAAAGTACTCGTGGATAGATTTCGCCTTCTCTGTGATCGGAGTGTGTACCTTCCTGGTGGACTGGGGCTCGGACGTATGGGTGGCCACCGAGTTTTACTGCCGAGGGGACATCTTCTGGTTCGGGGTTCTGGTCGGCCTCATGGTCCTGTCGTCGGTCGTGGTCCAAATGTTCAGCTGGTTCTGGTTCCAGTATGACCGCAAGCTGCCGGGGTTCGGCAGCGTGCAGACCGGAGGAGGAACCGTGCTGTTCGGGGACCGAGTGAAGCTCTCCTGCCTGTTTCATGTGCTGCAGCTGGGCTTCCTTTGCAGGTAGCCTAAACAAGTGTGCAGTAGTGGAAAAGTACTCCTATCCAAATAAAACTACTGTAGTCTTAATATACACCACTAGAAGTAAAAGTCCTTTAATACAAAATGTTACTAAAGAAAATGCAAAAAAGTGTGAAAGCTAATATTTGTTCCGTTATAATGAGAAACCTACTTGAAATATTATCTTATTATTACTTTCTCGAATATCAATTCGAATAATTGTACTCATTACTAACAGGATCTCTTTTATTTATTGATTACTTTATCTTTTGAAATGTTGGAGCTTGTACAATGGCTGGTAAACTGTACCTTATATTACTGCCAGGTATCTTAGTCTATAATATTACATCATTATACATTACTTGGTTTATATTTTTGTAATAAAGATCTGAATATGCAAAGTTTTAGTTTGAATCCATTCAGTCTAGTTAAAAGGAAGATGTAAGCTTCCTAACTATAGTGGAGTGAAACGGTACTTATATCATATAAAATGCAGAGCTAATGCGGCTAATTACTTGATTGTTGGTTAAACCTCATAGCAAATATATAAGTTCATATGGATCCAAACAGCCTACTCCTGTTTAAATGTGACTGTAAATGTAAGGCTGGTTTCTCAAGATGTGGAAAGTGTTTCAACAACAGGTTTCACAAAGTATAACGCCCCAGCCTTAATCATGCAAGCACTCTTTAATCCTGACAACTGCAATAAAGCACACTGGGCCCAGAAACCTTTACCGTAGGAGTATTTCTCTCTAACTGTTAAACAACTGGAAATTCCTACAGAATAGTTCATGCAGGCAAGTAGGTAATGAAATGTGACATGTGTAGTCACCATAAATGAAAAATGTCAGGTGTGGCAACTGGTAAATCCAGTGTCCCATAAGAGAACTCAATGCACTACACAAGTAATGAATTAATGAGGTATGAAAAGCACAAAGTCATTTAATGCATCATCATGACAGATTGCTGCTATTCACCAAACTGCTAAGTTTGTTATGCGTCTTGATTTTCTCCCATGTGTCTTTTCTGTCACTCACAGTTTTGTTCAAACATGTTCATTCACGCAGGCACATCTCGGCCATACGACAAGGCTTCAGGGTCTGGTGGCGGAAAGTGGAGGGGTCGGAGTACGCTGTCTACCTGACCCACGACCTGAGCATGCTCCGACTCATCGAGACGTTCTGTGAGAGCGCTCCTCAGCTCACTCTGATGATCTACGTCATGCTGCAAACAAACAAGGCCCGGACTGTACAGTGTGAGTTCTCTCTAGTATGAGTTACTTCTTTAAACTCACAGGAGAAGCAAACTTCTACAATAGAGGATGGTGTTTCTGTTAGGTATTACGCAACTTTGAGTCTTTCCTCACACAATCCGAAACAGTCTTTTTCCCTCTCTTAATCACCTGAGCTGTTAATAATACATTTGTATGAATGCACTTTGCTTTTCTGATCCTTGTAAAAAACATCATATTCAAATTGTGAAACACATACACTACTCTCAAAAAAGGAAGAAATACATAGCAAAACCTAAAAACATGACTCTGTAAGCATTACTGCTGCTCCTCGTTATTTAAACTTTTTAACAGACAGAACTTTTCCGTGTTATTTCCTTCCGCAACATCAAGGATATTAATTTAACTACACTCTCCAGTGGCATTGACAACCTCCCCAGCTTAAATTGTTCATCCCCGCCTGATGAACTGGTTTCTCATTACAAAAACAATCTTCATAGTCTGCTCAATACCCTGGCTCCTTTAAAAACCCGGTCTGTTTCCTTCACCCATTCTGCTCCTTGGTTTACACCTGAACTACGCCAACTTAAAACAAAAGGCCGTCGATTGGAACGCCTCTGCAAAAAAACTGGACTTGTTGTTCACAAAGAAATGTACAATAACCACATCCTCCACTACACTCTCTACAGCTAAATCATCATACTACACAGTTCTCATCAGCTCTGGCGGAGGGAACACAAGGGCCCTGTTCTCTACAGTGAAGAACATTCTACGACCACCGGACTCTCTTGCACCTCATCAGTATTCAACTGCCTACTGTAACTCCCTCATGTAATTTTTTTATGACAAAATAGAAAACATTCACCAGCAACTAACTCCTAACACCACCTGTAGTATATCCCTCCCTGTTTTCTCCGACCCTCTCTCTCATTCTCTTTCAAGTTTCACACTTCCCTCTGCTGTTGTAATATCTGACCTCATCCGTAAATCCAAGCCATCTAATAATAATAATAATAATAATAATAATAATAGCTTGGATTTATATAGCGCCTTTCATGGGACCCAAGGTCGCTTAACAAAGAAGAATAGGGCAGAAACAAACATAACAGCACAAAAGGCAGTCAGTCAGACAGACAAAACAACAGATAGATTTAGGGGCCAAAGGCCTTAGTAAACGGATGGGTCTTGAGGGCCCTTTTGAAGGCGTCAAGTGTGGGAATGTTGCGGATCTCCGCAGGGAGAGCGTTCCAGAGGGTGGGGGCTGCCACACTGAAGGCTCTGTCCCCGAAGGTTCGCAGTTTGGTGCGGGGGGTGGTAAGCAGGCCAGAGTCTGAAGACCGCAGGTTCCGGGGTGGGGCATGTGGACGAAGGATGTCCGATAGGTACTGGGGGGCATGGGCATGGAGGGACTTGTAGGTAAGGAGGAGGATTTTGTATGATATGCGGGATTTGACCGGCAACCAGTGGAGGTGGATGAGGGTGGGAGTGATGTGCTGCCACGGCTTTGTATTTGTGAGTACCCTAGCAGCACAGTTTTGGACATACTGGAGCCTGTCCAGGGTTTTGTTGGGAACCCCAAACAGGACACCATTGCAGTAGTCCAAGCGGGAGGTGACAAACGCATGAACTAGGGTTTCGGCAACCGACTCCGAGAGTGACGGTCGGAGTCTGGCAATGTTCCTTAGGTGGAAAAAGGCCGATTTGGTCACAGACTTGACGTGGGAGCGGAAGGAAAGGGTGGAGTCGAGGATGACACTCAGGTTGCGGGCTTCAGGAGATGGGGAGATGGAGCAGCCGTCGACCTCGAGGATGAAGTCACCAACCTTCTGGAGCAGCGCCTTGGGTGCCACAACCATGAGCTCTGTTTTCTTGCTGTTTAGTTTGAGGTAGTTGGAAGACATCCATGCTTTGATGTCATGCAGGCAGTTGATGAGTCAGTCAGTTAGACCCTCTTCCTACCCCCCTGGTAAAAGCCTGTCTACCTTCATTGTCCTCCTTTATAACTGTCAACATACACTCCTCCTTCACCTCTGGTCTTGTTCACTCACTTTTCAAATCAGCCGCCATCACGCCCATACTGAATAAACCTGGTGCAGACCCCAACAATTTTAATCACTAACGACCTCCTTATGGCAGCTGACTCCGAACTTTTAACAATCCTCATCATCCTCGATCTTAGTGCAGCTTTTGACACCATTTCCCACAACATCCTCCTTGACAGACTGACCTCCATCGGAATCACTGACACACCCCACCTTTGGTTTAAATCA